CACTGCCCTGCTCTGGACACGCTCCAGCCCCCCCAGGTCCTTCGGGGAGGGAGGGGCCCAACCCTGACCCCAGCAGTCGAGGGGTGGCCCCCCCAGTGCCCAGCACAGGGGCACGCTCCCTGCCCTGCTCCTGCTGGCCACACCAGCCCTGAGACAAGCCAGGATGCTGCTGGCCCTCTTGGCCACCTGGGCACCCTGCTGGCTCCTATCCAGCCCCCTCTCGACCAACCCCCCCAGAGCCTGTTCTGCTGGGCGGCTTTCCAGCCAATTCTTCAGGCTGTGAGCTCAGGTCTCTGGGCTTGTTCCCAAAGGAGACCCCTTCAGGGTGGGTATGGTGGATGCACCTCACAAACCTTAAACCTTTCTGCTTTTTTTTTTTTGTTTTCCTGGCAGTTTGAGCTACCACCTTCAGCTCAAGGGTGTCATAGTCTGGGAATGCTTGAATTGTGGCCACCCGAGAGGGCCGTGCTTTGCCTGCACAAGGGACGCAGGCAGGCGTCTCCTATTAATTTTGATGTCAGCGTAGCCTGGATGGATGCAAGAACCAGAGAACGGCTTCCAGGATTCTTTGAGAGGCTTTCCCTTTGCGCGTGGAGCTCACCAATTAGCAATGCTGGGGCTTTCACGTTGCAGACAGCGGTTTTCAGAGGTGTTTAATGGACTTTAGGTGCCTTTCGCTCCCCTGGCTGCTAGGCAATAGACCTTATTAAACCTCCCCGGTCCAGGGGCCAGCAGAGAGCAAATACACACTGAAACAGAGCCCGTTGCGTTCCTCTGGGCAACATCGTGACAGCAGTAAATAATGGTCTTATGCTAATGAATCATTTCTTCCAGAATTAAACTTTGCTCATTTTTGAGTCTGTGTCAAGTGTGAGTCACCGTGACTAAGGCACATATGCATGTCTGTGTGCCTAAGAGGCGCCTGAAATAACGCGCTCCTTCCAGAGGAGCTGCTGGAGCCGCAGCCAGTCTCAGCATCTCCCCACCCTGGGGCACACCAGGACTTGCAGGATTTGGTGTTGCTTCAGATCAGGGTGGCTTCATTACCTGGACACATGAAGTGGAGAAGGAGATCTGAGCTCAGGAGGTGGCTGCTTAAAGTGCTGAGGCACTCACCTACCTCTGGTGGGGCATTTATTATCCTTACCACTAACCTTATCTAGTTAGTGGCATCCCTGCTCCCTGCAGGGGGGTTGGACTAGATGACCTCTAGGGGTCCCTTCCAACCCAAAACATTCTATGATTCTATGATTTACGAGCCACTGAGCCAGGTCTGGGCACCAAGTGCTCCGGGGGGTTGAACCCTGCCTAAACAGCGAGAAATTGCAGCTGGAAATTCTCAACCGTGTCCCATGAAGCTCATAAAAAAAATGCAGATTCCTGCACCTGGGCCAGAACAACCCCTGCATCGGTACCGACTGAGGCTACCTGGCTGGGGACCAGCTTCTCAGAAAGGGCCTGGTGGACCACACGACGTTGGACGTGAGTCCTTGGTGTGCCCTTGCAGTAAAGACAAGCAACAGCGGACTGGGCTGCATTTGTGAGAGTGCAACCACCGGGTCAAGGGAAGAGATTTTTCCCTTTAATCTCCAAGTGTGTGGCTGCCTCTGGAGTTCTTTGGCCAGTTGTGGATCCTTCCATACAAGGAAAAGCAATGGTACAGCGGAGCAAGCCCAGGTGAGAGTACATAGCGGTTGGGTGGCTGGAGCTCACAACGTACAAGGAGAGGCTGAAGCAACTGGGATTTTTTAACCAGAAGAAAAGAAGGCAAAAGAGGTTGCTAATTGAAGTTTTCCAATACTTGGAAACGATTACAGATAAAATGGCGTCAAGACTGATGAGACCCCACCTGAGGCACTGCGTCCAGTTCTGGGCTCCCCAGTTCAAGAAGGATGAGGAACTCCTGGAGAGAGTCCAGAGGAGGGGATGGAGGGGACTGGATGGTGGAGGATGGAGGTATAGTGGAGGATGATGGGGGGACAGGAGCATCTCCCCTACAAGGAAAGGCTGAGGGAGCTGGGCTTGTTCAGCCTGGAGAAGAGAAGGCTCAGAGGGGATCTCATCAACACCTACAAATATCTCAGGGCTGGGGGTCACCAGGACGGAGCCAGACTTTTCCCAGTGGTGCCCAGTGCCAGGACAAGGGGCCATGGGCACCAACTGAAGCAGAAGAGGTTCCAGGTGAACGTGAGGAAGAACTTGTTGACTGTGAGGGTGATGGAGCCCTGGCCCAGGCTGCCCAGGGGGGCTGTGGAGTCTCCTTCTCTGGAGATCTTCAACCCCCACCTGGACACTGTCAGAGGGTCCTGCTCTGGGTGAGCCTGCTTGGGCAGGGGGGTGATCCCCGGAGGGCCCTGCCAGCCTCTGCTGTTCCCAAATTCTGGGATTCTGTGACTCATCAGAGATGAAAAGACAAGAGGATGGGTACAAAAGTTGCAACAGGGGAAAATTCAGCTGGACAATAAAGGAAGAATTCTTCCTCATGGGGGTTGGACCTCAGTCCTTGGAAATTTTAAGAACTCCATAGGACAAGGGCTGGAGAAACCCGATGTAAGTAGCCATTAAGGCTCTGAGCCAGTTAACAGAACTGTATAAATTCATTGTGTGCTGGCACGTTTAACCTACTAGGGGAGAAAAAATAAAGGCAGACAGTTCTCCAGAAAAATGCGTATGGAGTCAAACTCTCATCCAGGACCCTCACCGATGTGCCCCTGCGTAACGCCCAGGCACCAGGGGGTCTGCCCGCTTCGGGGGGCCCATGGTAACACCATCCCAATTCCCAGCTGTGTCAATGAGCATGCACAGCTTTCCAAAAGCAGCTCTTTTGTTAGGGTACAAGTCTAAGATGAATTTGTGTGGCTACACACTCCAGGTACAGGATGCTGGATGCACCCAGTGCTCGTTATCCAGACTGGAAGCATGTTTACTCTTGATGACGTCATAGGTTTCAGCTATAAAAACTTTTTTCCCATTTTAACTTCCTACCCTTGACAATCAAGACTGGTGACTGCTTCAGCACAATCTTTCTTATATATCCGCCCTGCCGGGAGTCCTCAGAGGCACTCAATCTCCCGAGTGACTGATTCTCTTGCTTAAAGTGTACAGAGGTATCAGATAAGCCATTAAAAAAATTTAAAAGCGGGAACATGTGTGCCTTACAGATTTTACTAGATGGGGCGTTCTTTGGAGAATCAGCCACCCAAAGTCAGCTGCTCAATATTTCTTCCTGCTAGAATGTGTGTCGGACACATGGCGGCGGGAGCGATGGACGGTACTCTTCACACAGGGAGAATGAGTGCGCATCTGCACGGCTTTAGAACGTGGCCATCACAGCTTCCCCACCTGAGGGCATTTGCAGCGGCCATTAAAGCGCGCCGTTGAGCAACCGCTCTGTTCAGAAGTGCTGGGCAGATGATGGCAGGGCGATACTAGACTAGATATAAGAAAGAAATTCTTTACTGTGAGGGTGGTGAAAGCCTGGCAGGGGTTGCCCAGAGAGGGGGTGGAGGCCCCATCCCTGGGAACATTCCAGGCCAGGTTGGCCGGGGCTGTGAGCAACCTGATGTGGTTCAAGGTGTCCCTGCTCCTGCAGGGGGGTTGGGCTGGGTGACCTCTAGGGGTCCCTTCCAACCCAAACCACTCTATGATTCTATGATTCTATGATACCAGGATGCCTGATCCATTCTCCCAGGTGTTCTCCATCACCCAGAGAAAACAGGCTGCCTCCCCCAGTCCTCCTGACCATGGGAACAGCTTTGACTCTTGTGGCGTGGCTTCGGGATTTTGGTTCTGCTCCAGATAGAGAGGTCAAGTGCAGGGTGGCCCAGCTGTTACCCCAGACAGCCCCAAACACATCACTTCCATGCCTTATCTCTTGTGCCATTTCTTGACCCTCCTTTTCACTGCCTTTGGCCTTGTCTTTCCCCACTCCGACCTTCTCCCAGGTGAAGAAGTTGCCTCTCGTTACTTTTTCCTCCACTGGCCCCAGTTCTGCTGCATCACTGTCCAAATCTGGTATTTCCGATAACATCACCTGAGTCATCCTGACCTTATGTGACATCACCAATGAGGTTACCTGAGTACTGCTTGCCCAGTAAGACTGTGCTCCCGCAGGCAGACTTGAGCATCCATGAAAAACAAGCGGGCAAGCGTTCATCCAAGATGTTGCAATCACTCACACTAGGGTAGGATACAGAGGAGTTTAAGATTACGCTTTATTTGTTTCCTGATGGCTCCATAACTGGTGACCGAATGGCTTCTCACGTGGTGAATGCAAACAGTGGGACTAATCATGAAGGTTTAAGCGCATGTGGAATTATTTCCTACGCTGCGCTTTAATTCTTCATCACAGTGCTCGTTAGAGCGAGGTGTGTTACAACCAGCGGAAATGTAACACAACTCACAGAGTGGAGAAAACCCTGTGATAAATCACAGAATAAAGGAGCATGGACAATGATTTAAATTAATTTGAATATTAATTTCTTCTATCTTCAGCCAGGAGCATACATTCAATTAGTAACAACGGTGTACACAGCATAATGAGTTCATCCCACTCATTTATGGTGAGTGGTTAGCAACGGTTCTTTGTCTCCTGTGGTGCCATGGGGAGAAGCTCTTCCTTGGCACGAGGACCTTGAGGATGCCCCTGTGGATCTGTCTGGCTTTTGTGGTGTAGATGATGGGGTTCAGCTCAGGGGGAACCAGCAGGTAGGTGTTGGCCATGAAGACAGGAACGAGAGGGGAAGCGTGCTGGCCAGAACAGTGAACCATGGACAAGCCAGCCACGGGGATGTACAGGATCAGGAGTGCCAGGACATGGGACAGGCAGTTGTTCAAAGCCTCGAGACGCTCCCTCTGGGATGCGATGCTCTCAATTGTCTTACAAATCATCACGTATAACAAAACAATGAGCAATGGGTCCAGTACCGCTATGAGGATGAGCACAGCTAACCCATACATGCCACTGAAAGTGATGTCTACACACATCAGCTTGATCAGGTCCTGCTGCAGGCAGTAGGCATGGGAGAGCACATGGGACTGGCAGAAGGGCAACCTTCTCAGCTAGAAGAGTGATGACAGCCCTCCTAAGAGGCATCTGCACAGGGCAGCCAGCCCAATCCTGCCCATCCTGGCATGGGTGAGGATGGAGGAGCATCTCAGCAAGTAGCGGATGGTCACATACGATGAAAGGCTATGGCCAGAAGCACTGAGGACTCCATAAAGGAGAAGGAATGAACGAAGTAAAGCTGAGCAAAACAGGCATCAAAACTGATGTCCCTGTAGCTGACCCAGAAAACACTCATCACAGTCGGCGCTGTGGACAGAGACAAACCCAAACTGGTGATGGCCAACATGGACAGGAATTGGTGTGTGGGCTCATGGAGGCTTGGATTGGTCCCGATGACAGAGGATTGTGCAGTTCCCTGTGAGAAACGCAATGTAGATGCGAGTGAGAGGGATGGAGGGCCAGATGAGGGAAACCTCCAGCCCTGGATGCCTGCCAGAATGAACGCGCAGCGGGAGGAGTTGGAGCTGTGGACAACCATGTGGTGGACTAGGGAGCATCTACACTGAAATAAAAAACCCTCAAAAAGGAAGTGTAGGGCCCAGAAACCAGACACTCGCATACTTATACATGCAGATGATACAAGCTTCATAAATTACCCAAGCTCACAGCAGTGGTTAATGAATGTGCTGTTGATTATTTTTCCTTTTTTGTTGATTACTATGGGATAAAATATTCATGAATGAGAAAAAAATTTAGACAAAAGCATCAGGGAGTTTATCAGCTACCTCAGGATGTTGGAAGTTCCCAACAGCAATGTTTGTTTTTAAATACCTCTGGTTTAACACCAGAAATCATCGTTAGATCACGCATGTCCACCCAGCAGTGAGTTAGACTTTTGCACCCCGTGATCCAGATTTTGTCTCGGGAAGGTGGAACCCAGTGCTGAGGATGTTCTGATTCTTTTCATGGTAAATATAACTTGTTGTCCAATAAAACCTGCAATCATTCATCCAATAGATAAGAAACTAATAATGTCTTGAAAAAATTGAAATATAAATTTAATGCAAATTTCACCTGCAGCATCAGCAGAGGGAAAGGGCTTTCGGAGGAAGAGAGCTGCAGGAGCAAATCTTGTGGCAATGCAGAGTCCCCCCAACATTGGGATAGTCTGGGCAAGGCAACCGGTGCCTGAATGTCAGGCAGGGAGCCGGGGACGCAATGCGAGCTGCTTAACCTCTCCCCAGCGGAAACCCTTGAGTCCCTGCACGACAACAGCATCACTGCCGCAAGGGAGAGATTCTCCAGAGAAATGGATGTCCAGAAACTTCAGGCAGAGGGCTGACAATGGGCCTTATACAAGGTCAAACCCTGCAGAGTTGTACAGAACAGAGGGGACTACTTCAGTTGGAGGGGCCCTGCGAGGACCAGCTGCTCCGTGTCAGAGGAGAGAGCTTTTTCTTATTCTCTGGGGAAACAAGTCCCTTACTGAAGGACTTATTTAGTCTAGCCTACGTGATTGGCAAAAGAAAAGCTGAACTGATCTAAAAATTGTCCACCAGTCGGTGCGTGGTTGACAGTGATGACTCTTCAGTATAACCCACAAGCACAGCGTGACCCAGTAACGGGAAACTGAAGTTACACAGAAATTGGATGAAACGAGACAGTTCTAGTTTGCAAATCTGAAAATAAAAAAGGACCAGATGACAAATCCTTCGTCTTTTGGAGCCGTAAAGCTAAGAACAGAAATTCTTCTGAGATGTATGCTTTGCCTGAAGGCCATACGATGGGCTTGATGAGCAAATTGGTTATGAAATTCTTCTGGAAGTGACATGCAGGATATCAGAATGCATCAGCACAGTGATCCTTTCTAGATCTAATATTTTCTAATGCTCCTGCAATGAGGAATACCCCCCCCCCCCCCCCATTAAATTATTAATTAAAACAGAGATTAAACACTATTTCCTTACTTTGCCCTTCAGTACTGTATCGGGAGGCCTCTAAGCGTCAAGGTCAGGCTCTGCAAGAGCCCTCTGAGGTATGAAGCCTCATGGCAATGCTCCTGCCCTCTGCACGTTGGAAAGCGACCAAATTCTGCTGTGGCTGAGGTCTGTTTTGGCTGTGGCGAGAAAGCCCAAGGCAGACTCACCAGGCCCACAAAGAGCTGCTTATGAGGTCTCTGAACTCCCCCCCCCCCCCAACCTGGACCTTGGATAAAAGGACTCGGGGGAATGGAGAAGCAATAAGGAAACAGAGTCAAATCTGCCTTCAGCACACAAGCACTGGGGGTCAAGTCATAGAATCATAGAATCATAGAATCATAGAATCACTTTGGTTGGAAAAGACCTTTAAGATCATTGAGTCCAACCGTTCCCCTAACCCTGCCATCCCACCACTAAACCCTGTCCCTCCAGCCCATTCCAGAGTCTGACAGCCCTTTCTGTAAAAAACTTTTTCCTAATATCCAACCTAAACCTGCCCTGGTGCAACTTCAAACCATTCCCCCTTGTCCTATTGCCCGTTACCAGGGAGAAGAGGCCGACCCCTCCTGTCAGGTGGTCCCCTGTGCAAGGGGCTGTACATACACATGGTAGAGAAACCTCTTCTGCATTGCGCTCATGCAACGCAAGGTAGCGTTGGGTCTAAATAAGAAAGAAGTCTCTGGAGCCCTGCCATTGCCTGCGCCTGCACATAAGGGTTGCTGCAGGTGATGCCAAACTGCAGGCTCCCAGCCTGCTGGGGGTTGGGAGCTGAAGCCTGGGGCGGGCAGAGCTATTCCCACCCCCTCTTGGCATTTCAGATTCATTCGTGTGTTGTGGCCAGGGGAGACCGCTGAACTCATCTGCTCTGATCACCCCCAAGCAGCTGCGCGAGTGGTGGTGTTGCTCACCGATGTGGACCTGTCTCCTCTGTGCCGTGGTGTGGGCAGCAGCACCCTTAATCTGGATCCCCCATTTTGTGTCCTGCCCACTCTGCAGCATCTCTCCATCGCCCCTCGGAAGGATGCCCATGCCCACGCTGGTTTTACGTGGTGGTGGTTGGTCCCTTCAAGGACAGCAGTGGCCCCATGTTGGCACATGCAATGACCCAGCACTCCCTCCCAGCTCTGCTGAGGAGATATTCTGGGTGAAGTATCTGCAAAATGCACTGTGAAATGTCATCCCTGTCCTGGCTGACGCAAGCTTGCATGTGGATCCTGCTTTTTTTGGCTCTTAAGACAAAGGATCTTCCTCTCATGCATTCACAAGGGGCAAAAGCATCAGATCTGCAATGGGATGGGTAGGAAATGCAATGTTGCCTGCTGTGGCCCCACAGCTCCCACCACTCTGCTTGCCCTTTCTCCCTCCTGCATCAAGGCCTCTTTGCTGAAGCTCTGGTTATGGGAACGGGTTTTCTTATCATAGCTCTAATGACCAAAATGGGGTAGCCCTTTTTTGGGTGAGGTCTGCCCAGCGTGCTGCATGCTGACCAGAGACCCATTCCACCCTGCACGGCTCGGGGTTCCCAGCATTGGAGAGGATGTAAGATTATCCATGCTGTCCTCGCTTGCTTTATCAAGTTAGCTCTAAGAAACAGCATTTTAAATGAGGCTTTACAGGGTCTGGGTGCTTTTCTGGCACTGGGATCACCACAGATGAGCAGCTCCTGGTGCAAAACTCTTCCCTGCAAGGTGAGAGGATGCAGCAGCAAGGAGGCTGCTTCACTGTGGTTCTCCAGGGTGAGACAACAGCGAAGGGCTCCCACCTTTCAAACGCCACAGACTCTCCCAGCCCCATGTCCTGTCACCTTGCCACACGCTCAGAGATGCTCCATGGGGCTGCCCCCCGCCCCCCCTGCCCCCAGGGTCCAGACAGCTTCTCTATGGCTGTCCTCAGTTTGGGGTGGGAGGTGGTGTGGTTGCAAAATGGTTCATCTCAGGGATGAGAACAGCCCCGGGGAAGCTCTGTGCTTGCTGGGGACGGCTGCAGGGTGTCTGGCTGGCCGATGCTGTGACTTGGGCAGTGTTCGGGAAAGGAATAAGCACTTGGCAAGCAGAGGGGTATCCTTTCTCTGCTCAACTCTATCAATCTGAGGCTCTGGCACCTCCTGAACCAGGATCAGTGTTTTTTGTTGAATATTCCTTAATTGATTTTATTTTTTTTCCCTGTGGATTTGCCTTACTGCTCGGTTGAGCTCCTGCAGGCTTTTGGCGTTTGCAGTTCACTCTGACAAAATGTTCCAAAGCTTAATCCTGCTGAGTGAAAAACACCTGAAATTGGTTTTAAATTTGCCACCTGCTATTTTATTTAATGTGTCTCAGTTTTTGTCTTAAAAGAGACAGCAAGAAATGACACCTGAATGTCCTCCTCAAGTCACTCAAGATTTTATAGAGCCCTTCGCCACCCCCTTAGTCATCCCTCTTCCAGACTGGAGAATCCTGGCTCACCCAGCTCTTCCTTGCATGGAAATTGTTTTAGGCCTTTGGTTGGTTTTGTTTCCTCTTCTCAATATCCTTCTAGTTCCCGTGAGGGTTCGTGGAAGATGAGAGCATCTGCTTCACTGAGGTTGTAAGGTCAAGACATTTGCAGTTCAAAGGGAAGAGTAAGTAACAAGGAAAGACACAGAAACCATGGAGGACCAATCATGGGGACAATAGCAAAGAGCAAAACTCTTCAGCCACTAATTGACAGGCCATTAAGAAACTCCAAGCTCAATTTTGGGGAGGGTCAGCCTGGCCTTTGTAGCTGATAAGAAGTGGGAAATGATGGATGAATGGATTTGGGATATCATAGAACCACAGAATCACAGAATCCCAGGTTGGAAGGGACCTCCAGGATCATCTGGTCCAACCTTTCTAGGCAAGAGCCCAGTCCAGACAAGATGGCCCAGCACCCCGTCCAGCTGAGGCCTGACAGTGCCCAGTGTGACGGAGTCACCCCCTCCCCTGGGGAGATTATTCCCATGGGTGACTCTTCTCATGGGGAAACATTTCCTTCTCATGCCCAGTTGGAATATTGTCAGGATCGACTTGTACCCATTCCCCCTTGGGGAGTTCTCTCCATGGGACTGCTTGTGACAAGGGAGTTTCCATCTTCCCTGTAGCCACCCCTGAGGCACTGGGACGTGGGGATGAGATCCCCCCGGAGCCTCCTGTGCTCCAGGCTGAACAAACCCAGGGGTCTGTGGGACTGCGGGTCCTGTGGGACTGCGCAAAACTGATACAGGAACCCTCAGGGGAAGGGTCGAGAGTGGGAAGGGGGTGTTGGGAAGGACAGGGGTGGGGGGAATGGAAGGGACAGCGTACAGAAGGGGCTGACTGCAGTCACACGGAGGTCAAACACCAGAGCAGATGGCAGGATCCTGCTTGCCCCGTGTTTCGGTGGTGCGGACCAGAGGTGGCGTGCGGCAGCCATCCGACTGCAGTGGTCGCAGCTCGGTGGCACCCGAGGCCATTTCAGCAGGTGACCGGCACCCACAGGCGTCAGTGACTCCCTTCTGCGGGCAATGAAGTCCATCATAGGCTACACGGGACCACGGAAAGTGAGCTATGGGTCGGAGCAGGAGTCCCGCGGGCTCGCCGCTTTCTGCCCGAGCACGCTGGGAAGATGCGCTATTTCACGTACACCATCCCCTCCATCCTGCCGGGCTCCAGCCCTGCTTGGGGCACAGCGTCCCTCAGCCTGTTCACATTTTCCTGGACAACCCGTGCACGCAGCTTCCACCCACACTAAACTCCGCCATTTCTGGGGTGAAACCCAACCAGATGTGGGAGAAATGGCTGGGAATACTTAAAGCGCTGCTCCTTAACGTCCTGTTAACACACCTTAGGATACTATTCCTATGTTTCCTTGACCATTCCCTTCATTGTTAAAAGCCACACGTAAGCCCTGGGCCCTCATCCAAAGACACTTTCAATATTGTTTTCCAGGAGACCTTGGCTTACAGGGAAACCGGCAGAAACTGCGTTTGCTGTATACCAGACACCTGGCTAGCCTGGCCATTGCCCCCGTGCTCTCTCTGACCGTTAGCGCATGCTGTGCTGAGCCCAGCACCTTCTTTTTCTCCAAATCATCATCCAAAAAAGTGTTCAGTCAAATCCTAAAAGAACCTCAGAAGCTGGAAAGCTCAGCATGCTCCTGATGCCTACACTAACTTCGTCCCGGGGTTAAATGCCACCCCTGCTGAGTGCGCTGCCTACGTGGACCCCGAAGAAAACCACTTTTTGGCCTCCACCCTGGGGCTCTCATTACGCTGCAAATGGGGGGAAAGCAAACTCACCCAGGGGAATCCCCCCACGGTGGGGTCGCTTTTGAGCTCTGCAGTGCTGGTAGCGAGCTGTGGTGCCCATCTCCGGAGCATGGTGTAATTACGGAGTTAAATCATAGAATCATAGAACCACAGAATGTTTTGGGTGGGAAGGGACCCCCAGAGGCCCAACCCCTCTGCAGGAGCAAGGACACCTTGAACCACATCAGGTTGCTCACAGCCCCGGCCAACCTGGCCTGGAATGGTCCCAGGGATGGGGCCTCCACCCCCTCTCGGGGCAACCCCTGCCAGGCTTTCACCACCCTCACTGGAAAGAATTTCTTCCTTAGATCCAGTCTAAACCT